GCATTTTAGTTTCATTTCAGTTTCATGTGCAGGTAACCAGCAGAGGAACAGAAGACACAAAGAAAACATGAAAAGACAACATTTTATGTAAATATTGTAAATGCATAGCAGCATTGTGCCAAAGGAAGTCAAGGAGCGTGTTCCTTAGATCGTAACTTTCTTAAGTCCTTAAAGTAGTCTGAGGTCTGTGACAAGTATAGAAGTAGGTGACCTGGGAGATCAGAAAGTTTGCTCAAGCTGCCTCTTTACCAGCCATTTGCACCACTTAACTCCGTATCTTTTACTCTCATGTAAATGCTTTGATACTGTGGCTAAGCATAATCCGCTTAAAGTAGGATTATAAAACATGGGGTGATCCCTTGGGAAGTCTGCCATGGCACTGCAGCGACCAAGAAATTATAGTTAAATCTTAAGTTTGAAACCCTCTCATGCCATTGTTTTGTTGTAGGTATAAGTTCTTCTTACCAGCTTCTTGGATACCTGGGACGTATTCAACACGTATTTTTGGTGAGGAATTGTCACACACAGTTTGTGGATTTTCCTCACTGTTTTTCATAGCTTGCACGTGATTTTTAGTTGATTATTTCCCTTTTAAAGTGATGTACTTTATGTTGTCTTTTTTTAACCATAGAAAGAACTTTTTTGCAATTTTTTGCAAGCTTTTTTTAATTCTTGAATGCAAGAAAGTAGGCACTTCTCACTTAAATATGTCAAAGTTTTACCCAGCTGTTAGCTAGTAAGTCATAAAAAGATTCCTGTGAGGTAGGCAGTGCGTGTTATCTTTTATACATGCAGACATAGCACTGTTGTACCACCTGAAATTCCATCAGGCTCCAAGCTCTGCAGAAAGTGACAAATGCTAGACAGGTATACGATTTATAATGGATGAGGTATGCAAGCAAGCTCTGGGAGTTGGATTGGATTTGATTACAAACAATAATATGACACAACCCCTGCTGTGGATAGTACACACATTGTGAGAGGCAGTGCGATCAGGCAGCATCAACACCAGGCTGCAGGCATGATCCAGAGCCCTAAATCCACCTTTGCAGTACACCTAACTGTGTGGCTTTGGGAAAGTCTTGTCTGATCTAACAGTCCTTCTTCCAATTCCCTGGGTTTTTAGCACCATTCAGTGCAATTGTGTGCAGCTCAGCATGATAGCAGGCTTTGGAGAGGCTTTTTAAATGAATTATAGGAAAAGACAAGAAGTCATTTGAATAATTTTGTGCAGTTGCTGGCAATGAACTTGCCAATGAAACTTTTCCATGAAGTAACTGTTCTCCATCAACAAAATTTTCCTCGAGGGACCACCTTCCACCCCAGCAAGAATGAGTGCACTTCCAGTACAAAAGTGAATGGTAGAGACACTGATATTCCTGCATCGGCCAACATTTGAGTATTGAGCAGTACTCAATGCAAAGCTTTTCTACTCCTAGATCAGGAATGAAAAAATCTCCATATCAGGCTATCACCTGAGAGTGCTGGGCATTCCCACAGCATTTACAAACTTGATGTTTTCCGAGTCAGCTTCAGACCCTCTTCATTCATTGGGCAAATCAGGTTGCCTGAGTGATTGCACTTGCTCACATTGTCATTGCACAGAAATACGTTGGTGATGGCCATTCGACATCGGTTACATTAGTAGCTCAGTGTAGGACCTGAACATGCAAAATCTTCGATTAAAAAAAAAAGCTTTTGAGACATTTTTTCCCCTTTTTCTTCCATCTGGATTTCCCCCCTTGTTTTATGTATTGGCAGACGAAAAAAAATGTGCAAATCAGAATGTCCATTAAACAGAGTATTGGTCTTGTGGAGAATGGAAGTTTAATGAAGATTTAATTTTTAAGAATGTAATTCAACAGCTGAGCAAAGGCATGACTCATTTATGAAACTGAGGCCTACACTATTAGGATGACTATTCTAGCAAGTAAATCCCAACACGTGCAACACTATAATCTTTCTTTCTTAAGCAGATTCATACATTTAGTAAAACCGCATTTCAATAAGTGTGGATTTTTGTCCAATGGTAAACAAACATATCAGTACTATTTCTGTATATCCGTATCTGTGCTTCAGACTCTGTAATTTTGCAAGGCTACTGTTTGGCAACACTTCAATGAAAGCATCCTGAAAGAAAATTGTATGCTCTGTGGTGAACACTAAAACTAATAATTATTAAGTATTAGTTGTCTGATTGCTCTGAGCTACATGCAAACACACAAGATAATAAACTTCTTGCAATGTAATGTAACCACCCCTTCATTTGTTTTAGTTTGTCAAGAAACTTCATTTATTTTACGCTTTGGGCTTCTTTACCATTCTCCTCATGTCTTGTATGTCACCATTTTAAGAAGTCCAGGCAGTGATGTTTTGATCTTTAATATTACATCAACAGGGGTTTTTTGCATACCATAAGTTCAATCATAAGACCATTGGCAAAAATTCAGTGCTGCCCTGTTTTTGCACTTTTATGTTATTGGAATCGCAGTGATCCCTCCATCCTATGTACCTCATGTTATCTCAGATTTATATTTCCAGTGTTCTTTTAATTATTTGCCATATTTTCCAAACTCTAGCTGAAAGGTGTACCTCAAGGAGTCAAACATGTTCTGTGCTCCAAAAATTTTTCAGCAGATGGCTTCCCCTCCACCTTGAATGCTTTTGCCTGTCCCCTACTACATGACCCAGTGGCCTACATACAACATATGGCGTTCTGACAAATCCATTCTTCCAAGCCAGTTTTCAAGAGTGCCCTGTGGGAGCAAAAGGGTTTGGGGACGATTGCAGTACAATAAAACCCCACTATATCTAATTTGCTATAGAGAAAGTTTTGCCTCATCCTGTCCAGTTGTGCACATAAGATATAAAATGACCCCTTGTTCCTCTCTGTGAGCCTTGTGTATTAGAAGTTATGCTTCTGTGGGGCATTGTTGCATTCATTTCTGTATTGGAGTCTGTGGAAGCAGTAAGGGCCTGCTGTGTTTGAAGTCTTGGTTCTGCTTATCAATGGTTTGTCCAAACTATCAAAGGTGAGGAAACTGCCTGCGCAAGATAAAGAGCTGGTCTAGATTAGTTTTTTCCTCATGGGAATGGGAAGGGTCTTTCTGCCTCTGTGTACATACCTACAGACATAATTGGTGAATAGTATTCCTTGTCATCTGAGGTGCTTCATGCTGTTGTTAATATTTCTATATGCAGTTGCTTTCTTGTATACAAACCTTCTCCATCCTTTGTTCTCATATGCCTTGGATTATATTTCCACTTACGACCCTCTTGGTTTTGGGGCATTTAGGTATGCATTCTGATCATGGAATTGATGGGAGTATACCCTTACTTCTCCAGGCTGATTTCTTTTGCATGAGATACCATGGGTGTTTTTAATCTGATGGTCACTCTGTTTTATGTTGAAACACAAAACTTCCATCAGTAACTTTTCTGATGGAAATATATGGGCATTACCAGTCCTTCTTCTCTGCATTATTCAGGTTCTCTGTTGAAGTCACATTCATATGGCTGTAATTCTTGTAAAGGCATATTTGTAGTTTGATTCCCTCCTCTAGTGAAAGAAAATTTAGATCAGCTGTGAGCACAGGAATGGATGACCAACAGCTCTTCCTACCAAGCCTTTTACTTTTCCTTCATATAGCGTTTTCTGGCTTACCCATTCTGCGTCATCTTTCTCCGTTTTCTTTTTTCTTTTGCTTATTCCAGTTCATGGCTCATTGATTTCATAAGTTGTACCAAGACCGTAGGTTCATCCCCAGGGCATAGACATCTGGAAAGATGAAATAGGGATGTCGGCATGAAAAGAAAGTGGAGATGACTTGGCTTTATTTGCCAATTCACAAATAACTTGGTGAACAGAGTTTCTGGCCATGAAATCTGGATGCCATTTTAGAAATAAGAAATTTGATTCATTCCCAGTTTACTTTGGCGTCTGCTGATGGAAATTAAAATACAGAGTGGTGTCGACAAAACAGTATACAGAGTGCAAAATAGTGCAAAGACCTTGTAAACAATTCCTCTTGGGATCTTATAGGCATCTAAAGCAACCCCTAAGATGTTGATTGAAGTGGGTTAGGCTAGAGACCCAGGTGACTTATTCAGGGCATAACCCCAGAAAGCATCAGGCTCCTGTGATGTTCTGGCTGCTGCTTAAAGCTGGTCTTCCTTACTGACATCTCTATGGCACACTTCTTGCCTTCCTGAATTTAATGAATGCCCTAGTCAATTTGAAAGTGTTTCTGGGAGATAAAGTTTTCTTCTCTATGCCAGTAAGTTGATGTGAGCCACGAGTTTCCAAGCCTCAGGTTTAGAGCACATGCTAGCAAAACACAACAGACCTTTACTACCAGGCGTAAGCCATCAGTGCAAGTGCACAGAATACCTACACTATTTCACAAGAGAAACTTTATAGCTTTTAGATGTGAATGGTAAGGAGCAGTTCCAATTTCAGACACACACACTTTTTATTGGGTATTTTTACTACCAATGCGTTGCATAAGAAATTTCACAGCTGAATGTTTTCTTTCCTGACACCTGCTGTGTAAAGACAATGACAAAGCTCTTTTCAGAGCATCCTTTATATAACAGCACCAGTTCACGCTCTGACTTCTTGCTATGCTGTGTCCAGTGACATCCAGTTTGCCTCTTCTATAGGCAGGCAAAATTTCCTTTGGCTTCACTGGTAAGCTTGTCTGAGCAAAGACTGCTGGTCAGCTCTGATGCCCATCCTGTGGGCAGAGCTAAAGCTCTTCCAAAAGTTGGCTTTCATTGCCTCCAGTGAAGTCCCACCCTTACCGCAGAACTGCACTGGCAGAACCACAGGTTATTATTGATGGGAACATGTTTCCTACCACAGCCTGAAGTCCGAGGCTAGCTGACAGTTGGCAGTGTGCCCCACAATGTAACAGAACCAGAATTTAATCCAGACTATCTTTAATGCAGTAGGTATTGCTGAAACCTACATAACTCCCTTCCCTCTCATCAATTCGCAGCTACCTCATCCCTGAACTCCCAGCTTCAACAGCTTCAGCATCTTCAGCAGCTCCAGCATCAACAGCAGCAACAGCAGCAGCAAGGTCAGCAGCAGCAACAGCAGCAGCAAAGCCAGCAGCAGCAGCAAGGTCAGCAGGCACAGACTCCACAGCCATCCCAGCAGACCCAGCAGCCACAGCCACAGCCGTCAGCGCCACCGCAGCAGAACCAAACACAGTCCCAGAGCCAGAGCCAACCGCCTCCGGCCCCACAGTCCTCCAGCTCCCCTCAGAAACCCAGCCAGTCACCAGGGCATGGCCTTCCATCTCCTCTTACTTCACCAAATCCATTGCAGGTAGGATGCTACATACAAATCTGCAATAGTCTAACAACAGAAAGTGCATACTCGCCCACTGCAAAGGGAAATCAAGTGAAGGTTATACCTTCTGACCATATAGGCTGAGAAATTCCACCTCGTATTAGTTAATCCTTACAGGCATGCAGCTTAGAAGAGCTAAAAGGCCTGATAAGCCAGAAAAGCATAACTAATGATTGTCCGCATCTGATCCTTTCTGAAGAGTAAACATCTTTTGCTCTTAAAGTCTGCATCATAAGACCCATAGAAAACCATCTAATTTTTTCCAGGCATTCAGCATGTGACCTTCTCAAATGGCTTTCGCCCAGCAGTCACTCTTTATGGTAATTTATGAGGACAGCAAAGCTAGTCGTTCATTAGCAGATGATACTGACTGTCCCTACAAGAAATAGAGCTTCTGCTGGTGGACGTGTGCAAGGGATGGATGGGTTGTACTTCTTGAAATCACAGTCCTAACGCTTATCCTGCTAAGAATCAAATACTTCTGTTAAAGAGTCTCAGTATAGACTCCAAAGCTAAGAATGCCAGTTAATGCCTTTCCTAGAAGCTCACTCCAACAATCAGGATGTTTTTTAATAGACCAACAGCTATCGCACCCACACTGATGCTGGGTTCTGCCCATCTTTGAATTCCTGAGCAGAAACAGGGGATCTCTGATCAAACGGTCCTAATTTCTTATACTTATGTGTTCTCACACTGCATGTGTCATGCTGTATTCACATACTGCAAGAACAGCTTTGGCTGTACCCGCAAGTATGATTCTGAATAAACACCAGGGTAGTCCGTGAAGTGAGTAGAGTCTCTTTCAGTGGGCGGTGGAACTGCACTTAGAAACCAGCAAAGTCTCTATTCACTTTATTATCTAAATTTTGAGGTCCCACTTTAAAGGTTTTATCCACACTGATGGATTTGGCTCCATTTCCTGCAGAAATTAAACTGCATTAGCTTAAAAATTAAAAAAATCCTTTTCCAAACAATTAAGGGAATTGGTTTACAAGAAGCTATATTTGCCACGTGGCCAGTTAAACCTGCATTAATCTGGGCTTCAACTAAATTGCATCAAATCTGATTTTTTAATGGTTTAGATAATAGACTTAAAAGTCCACAAGAGATGTGTCCTTGCTTCCTGAGCTTTTTCTTATAGTAGAGCATAATGTTTCTAGAGTTTCTTCTGTGCATTGTCTTAAGAGCTACTTAGGCACCACTTAATGCCCAGTCTATCATGCTAGTGAGTGCTTTGGGACTCTTTAGTATGCAGATTATTGACATACAGAGACAGGAGTATTTCCAGAGGAGCTTCTGTTACATTTTATTGTCTTGGTGCAGCCGTAATGTATGCATACTAACTGTATACACTATATGTTGCTAAAACTGCCTGCTAAATATTTTGCTTCAGAAGGCATTCAGTTTTCCAAACAAAGTAAATGCACAAATAAATTAGAGTTTGAGTAGGGAGTAAGAGGGATTATCTCTGTGAACATACCTCAAGAGGGCTGTGCTAACACTGAATCTGAAGTCTTAGCTCTCATATAGCCTCTGGTCCCAAACTAAATCTCAGCTGAATCTGAGTACTTCCAGTCTCATCTGTGACCTACAGGTACAGGCCAATAGCAGCACTTTCTACTGTTAGCTCTCCAGGGTCACATCTCACTTGCATAAGTACAGGAAAAGTAAGTAAAATCAATAATTGCTTGCATGGGAGGTGCCAATGTCAATGTTTTCATGGAGGTACCTTGGCACATCACTCTCTTCAGCATGATTATCCTCACAACTACCCTTCTGAGGGCAGTCTGGATGTGACAGACTCAACAGAAGTGGAAGGAGAGAACTAAGTACTCTGACGTGGTTTTAGTTCAAACGCTTTCCCCTAAACCTTTTAGGAACTGGAATTAGAGTTAATGAAAGACACCAGTGTGAGAGGTCTGGCATTTCCACTGGGCTGAGCTCAGCCAGTACCGCTAAGCCAGCTGCGTGACTGGGACACTTTCAGAACAACAGTCAAGGAATTAGAAGTCATTAGCTGTCAGCTCTGGCTCAGCATTAAAGAGTTACTAGTAAATAGGGGGATAAGTATTTTTAATGTTCTTTCTTCTCTGATCCTCACCATGAAAAACCGTAGCCATGAAAACCCAAAGTTTGTTCACAGATACAAATATGCCGTGCGCTTACAACCAGAAGAGAATCCAGAATTCAGCACGGTACCTCAGGACTCACCTTAGCGTTGTGTGTAGGGCCATTACTTTGGCCTTCTAGCAATTTCCACGGCAAGCATAATACTTCTCAAGCTTCCCTAAGAAATATTTAAGAACTTGAAACATGCTCTGCAATATTGCTGAGAATGGTGAGACTCTTTAATATGCAAACGAGTGACACTCAGAAATATTTCCAGAGGAACTTCTGTTGCACTTTATATACAGTTAAAGTATGTTTTAGGGTACTTTTCTAAAGCAGAGCAGTGATAAGATTTCCTCCATTAAATTTGTCTTTCCATTCTAAATCCTCCAGAGAAAAGCTGTTTTATACCCGTACACCTAGCTTGAGGACTGGATCTGAAATTGTTCTCTTCTGCACAAACACACAAAAAAAAAACCACACCAAAAAAAAGGAGAAGGAGGGACCACCCATTTGGCAGCAGTTCGTATATCCAGTTCATAATAGCTGCTTAGAATGTGGATTTTTTTAATGCCTAATGCTTTAACTTAAAAATCGACCTAGAACAAAATTCAGAGATATTATGGCCTCTAAGGTAATGTTCTTTATGAACTAGAATGAAATGGGTTTTGTTTGAAGAATATTAAGGGAATAAAGATCAACTAAGTTAAAGTTTGACAGCTTAAATTTCATTTCTGAATTCTTGATTTTTTCATGTGGGCTTTATCCTCTTACATTATTCAGGATCTGTCTGAAAGATATTAGTTTAGAACAATGCAACCTCAAAAAATTGTCATGGAAAGTCAGTAATTCAGGAGGATGATTGTGTTTGTTTCAAAAAACTCTGAAGGATAACAGCAATTACATCTCAAAATGTACAGATCCTGTCATGTCCTTCAGAAGGCAAATTAAATGAAAGTGACTTGCTTAGGTATACCTGGGTGAGGTAATTTTGCTAGCTGATCAGAAATTAATAATACCAGTGCAGCATACACCAGCTAAAAGTCTCAGAACGATTCTTGTCAGATTGTTCTGTAATACTCTGCTCTAATTTTATCACTATTCTTTACTCAGTTCAGTGGGCTGGATTGTAGTTACAAAACTATTATTTTTAGGAAGTCTTTTAATGATTGTGTAGAAAGATGAAAAACCTCACTTCAGGTTTCGGAGCCTAGATTCTGAGCTGACATTAGTGATGGATGCTCCAGATTTACACTGGTACAAGCAAAACACTGCAGAACCAGGGTCATTGCTGATTTGCAAAACACAACAAACCGGAGGAAAATTTTCTGAAGCAGAGCTGTATTTCAGGACGTGGTGGGTCAGGTGGATGACGGAAAACTTTCATCCCTTAATTTTAAAATGGTGAAATTCCTCGTATAGATAATCATAGTCTGATTTTTAATTTGATTCTGTCAATTGATTGAGACAAAAGAATACAGAGGTGAAAGACAACCTAACTCATATTGTAAACTAGGGACTTCAAAACCTTCACTTCTGGGAAAATACACTTCTCCAAATATATTTCTCCTGTGAATGTTTAATGTTATTACATGGCAAACTCTATGGGTTCTTGAATGGTCGGCATGTTGAAACTTAAAAGCATAGTTAGCACCTCTTACAGAGTTTCCATTCAATTAATTTCTGGAGCCATAAGATCTTGATTATATGCATACAAAATCAGATGAGCCAAGTACTAAGTAGCCAATTATTCTGCTTGACTACCAGAATAAGGCACTTTACATCAGCAACATATATTTAACTGGCTCTGAATGGGGGTTAGCTTCTGGTGCTGACACTTACTGTATGTTGCTGTATGGGTAAGATGAACGTACCCACAGCCAGATCTACAAAGGGAGAGCTGCACTATAGGAATAGAAGAATTCCCAATGATTTCTACTGCTCTGTTCATGTGTGAATAGGAACAGACAAACAGGAAATCCCCCAGGGATTGCCCCACTGTAAAATTATTCTGACTGTTTTCAGAACTCTTTCCTAAAGCACCTTTTTGTCATAGAAGCCTACCTGCAGTAACTGGAGCTGATGGAAGATGATGAGTGAGAAAAAAATAATAATAAAAGGAGGGAAGAAGGGAAGTGAGAAGATGACAACAGCAGAAAAATCTTCCAAGTAATAGCAACTCTAGGATAGCAAAACCAGAACCTCCTTCAGATTAAATTTTCATACTAATCTTAAATAATGTATTTCGAACCTCAACACTTTTATAACAAAGGAGAAAAGAAAAGCAGAAAGGCTGAAACACTCAGCTGTAAATGAGGGAGAATGTGTACACAGATGCCTGAGGCTCCAGCAGGCACAAAAACCAAACTGTCCCTACCCTTCCCCCCAACCTCATTCAGTGTTTAGCTGCTCATTAAGGAAAAATCTACTTTAAAGAAATCTCAGCATTTACTGACACTTTGATAAATTTACATACATTTTAAGATACAGAGAAACAACCAAGTCTCCATCGGTTTGAGGAAGGCAGCTGGGATAAGTTTACAAGGACTATAGTCATGGGCTGTCTTTATGTCTGTATTCACATCCAAGACCTGCTGTGTTTTTCTCATGCTTAGTGAATTCTGAGATCAAGAAAACTTGATCAAGATTATGACAGTAGTAATCCCACTGAGGGTTTTTTTTTGTTTTGCTAAAATTATCTAGCCTTCTTCCTGCATATGATACTGTGCAACGTATGACTCTGAATCTGTTCCCAAGTTACCTGGCAATCAGTTTGACAAATATTTTATAAACGATGAGCAAATGCAGTGCTTTGAATCCATTTTCCAAAAATTCCTAATTTTTAGTATCAATAGGGAGCGAGATAT